CAAACGCGAATAGACATTTAACTGCATTGTCTCGTGTTAATAATATGTTATCCATTTTCAAGTATCCCTTAACTACCACAACTTTCTCGTCATCCGTAGGCTTGTTTTTCAGTTTGCTTTTAATATCAGTCATTCTGTTTTCAACGTCCTTCCAGAAAGCCTCCTGCAAATTTTCTCTAGTATGCTCATCGAACCATTCTTTACAACTTCCATTGAATTCCTGTAATTTTTGAGCACATGCGCAAAAATAAGCAAGGTAGGTGGATAAAGCATCATTTTCGTTTTGAAACCGAGATAATAGTGCATCGGCAATATATGATCTTGGTGGATAGCCACTTGAGTTATGGTCACGTAAACAGCAGTATATGGTGCTAATATCTTCTGCGTTTTTTTTTAATAATTTTGATTTTCCTATACCACTAGCTTGAATTAAGGTCGTGTACGGAGCGTAATAATTTCCTGTCTTTCTGTAATTATACGAACATTCATTGATGAAATCTTGGAACCTTTTCAAAAGGTCACTTGGATCTTTGAAATCAATATCGAAGGCCTTTCGGACGACTTCTGTTTCTTTACTATTCACCGGAGGCTCTAATATGGGATGTATAATAAATCAAAAATTTCAAATTACTCAAATGAGAAACAATTCATAAAATTAGCCACTAGAATAATACTATTCATAATCGGCTTACTTGGACCCGCATCTGCTACTTTTGCTTGGTCTAAGTAATAAGTATCAGAATAAACGGGGTTAATTCAGATTATTTGCGATCGGCTAGTGACTGAATAACATACCTTTTTCTACATCAGATATCTTGACTGGATTATCAATCGAACATTTCTGTTGCTTAAGAAAGTCAATGATTTGCATTTTTGTCCAGCCAAAATTCATTTCTTCATCACCAATAATAAACTCATAATTTTCCAATGGACCCTCGATATTGAAGCATCTCTTTAAACAATCATGCAGTTGAGTAATATCCTCCCAGACCCCGGAACTAACACAATAAACTTTTGACGCGAGGTACTGAAAGTATAAGGAAGCTAAAGGGACAATTGTGTTAACGTAAGCGATATACCAAACATTCACGATATCACAATATAATGAAGCGAGAAATAGTAATAGAGATATTCATAATGCTTACCTTCCTTAGATGTCTGAAACATCGCTAGTTTTTCTTCCAATTCTTTTATTTTCTGATTTGTTGCACCCGTATCTGTGCAATAAGTATGAGGCCCAAGTTAATGAAATTATTGCGGAGAAAGCAGTATAGGTTTGGAATATTCGAATGCAGTCGTGGTACTACTTACCCTGGTCCTCACGCTTAATGTTTCTAATTAATCTAGCGATAGTTCTAGCTGGTCCGTCAGGTAGATTGTATGGAGAAGCTAGAAGGTCTTCTTTAGATAATTCAAGGAAGGATATGCCATTAACTTCTTGTTCTCGAAGAGTATTGAAATGTTTATCGTTAATTCCTAAGTTTTGGTCGGCCAAAAATTTTATTAGTTTTTCTGTTTTAGTCCATCCTTCTACTTCGTTAGCTGTAGGAAGAGGGGCTTTTTCTCTGGCAGTAGACATCATGGGCTGAAATTCGTCTAATTGGCTAGTTTCGTAGATCAATTTGTAGATCTACATGTGATTATTAGCCAATCA